AAAAAATGCTCAACCTCACTCAGCATCTGGGAAATGCAAATCAAGACCACTTTGAGTTACCATCTCACTCCAGTCAGGATGGCTAATATCCAAAAGACTGAGAATGATAAGTGCTAGAGAGGTTGTGGAGAAAAAGGAACTGTCATACACTGTTTGTGGGGCTGCAAATTGGTGCAGGCTTTATGGAAAATGGTATGGAGGTTCCTCAAACAATTACAGATAGATCTGTCATACGACCCAGCTATTCCACTGTTGGGAATATACCCATAGGAATAGAAATTATCATGTCAAAGGGATACCTGTACTCCAATGTTTATTGCAGCTCTATTTACAATAGCCTAGAGTTGGAGCCAGCCCAAATGTCCATCATCTGATGAGTGGATACAGAAACTGTGGTATATCTACACAACGGAATACTACTCTGCTATAAAAAAGAACAAAATACTACCATTTGCAGCAANCCTTAATTTATCACAGTTTACCTTCAAATAATATTATCACTTCATGTATACGAATCTTACAGCTTTCACTTCCCCCTTCTCTCCTTTCTGTTGTTTTCCTAAACTTCACTTCTACGTATGCCATAAACCCACAGTACAATATAGCTAATTGTCTTGTAACTAGATTAAAACTTAGAGTAAATGTATTTTGTATTTGCTTTAGTTTATTTGTGCTGCTTATAACAAAATACACAGAACTGGATATTTTATAAAGAAAACAAAATTTATTTGCTTACAGTTTCTGAAGTTAGGAAGTCCAAAGTCCTCCAGTGTCTCACCTTGCAAGATGGTGAAAGCAGAGAGAGAACAGAGAGAGCAAGAGAGAGACAGATGGACTCTCTCTTCTTCTAAAACCCTCAGTTCCACGCCCATGACCGCCATTACTAATCCATTCACTATAGCACGTCCTACAATCTAATCACCTCTTCAAGGCCCCTCCTCTCAATTACCATAGTAGGATTTCCCACCCTCCTAACAGTCACAGTGGGGACCAAGTTTCTAATACATAATACCTGGGGGATACAGTTCAAGCTTCCGTGAGTTTTGGGGGGATATAATTCAATCCACTACAGTATTTATCCACATACTGGATATTTAAGTTGTTCTTTATTCCTTTGTATGATCCACATTTCCATTTGCTATCATTTTCTTTCTACCCAAAGAAATTTTGTTAATATTTTTGATACTGCAGGTCTGTTGGTAATGAATTATCTCAGCCGTTTGAGTCTGAAAAATTCCAATTTACCCTTATTTTTGAAAGATGTTTTTGTTAAGTATATAGAATTCTAATTTTACGGTTTTATCTTCTAGTCCTTTAAAAATGATTTCAAAAATCATTGCATGATTTATGATTAGAAGGCTCCCGTCATTCTTATGTTCCTTCCTTGACACATACTGTGAATGTTTTGTCTGTGGCTGCTTTTAAGTTTTTTCTTTTTATCACTGGATTTCATCAATTTTATTAGCATTTGCCTGGGTATGATTTTCTTTATTTTTCTTCTTTTTGGGTTCTTTGAGCTTCTTGGCTCTGTAGATGTTTTGTTTATCAAAATTGGAAACATTTTTGCCATATATTTTCAAATATTTTTTCTGTTTCTCCCTCTCCTCTTCTTCTTAGACTCCAATTACACA